TGGATGTTAAGGATTGTACAGAGGCAGCGTTGATGGAAGCATTCTAAGAGACGCAAGTGGTGGCAGTAAATGACCCATGATTCAGACCCACATAAAAGAGTAGACAGTACGATGGCTCTGTAAATGCTGATCTTTGTACTTTTCTTCAGGTGCTTGTTTCTCCAAACTCTTTCATGGAGTTTACCGAAAGCTCTGTATGTCTTTGCTAACCTGCTGTCTATTTCTTCATCAATCTTACCATCCGAGGAGATGATTCTTCCCAGGTAAATAAATTGCTGGACTGATTTGAGCTCTCATTTGCCAATGGTGATATGGGAATGATGGAAGACTTCCTGAGGTGCAGGCTGATTGAAAACTTCTGTCTTCTTCAGTCTGACTTCTAGTCTAAAAAGCTCAGCAACCTCTGCAAAGCAGGATATTAAATGCTGCAGAGTTACTTCTGTGTGGGCCACAAGGGTGGCATCATCAGCGTAAAGCAGTTCATGGACAAGATGATTTAAGGTCTTAGTGTGGGTCTTCAGTCGCCTTAGGTTGAAAAGGCTTCCATCGATACGATATCAAATGTAGATACTGTTTTCTTCATCAAGGTCTACTGTGGCCCTTTGGAGCATCATGCTGAAAAAGACTGTGAATAGAGTTGGTGCAAGAACGCAACCTTGCTTCACAGCATTGGTTATTGGAAAGGGTTCAGAAAGTGCATTGCCATATCTGACTTGACCGCATTGGTCCTCATGAAGCGAGATGATCATTTTGAGGAACTTGGGGGGACATCCTAAACATTCCAAAATCTGCCACAGACCTTTTCTGCTCACAGTATCGCAAGCCTTGGTAAGATCAACAAAGGTTACATAGAATCTTTTGTTCTGTTCCCTACACTTCTGTTGCAGTTGTCTGAGAACAAATACCATGTCTGTGGTATCCCTCTTGGCTCTGAAACCACATTGGCTTTCAGGTAGAAGTTCTTCTGCTATAGCAGGTATTAATCTGTTCAAAAGAATTCTTGCAAGGATTTTCCCAGCAATGGAGAGCGGAGTAAGACCTCAGTAATTTGAGCCGTCTGATTTATCTCCTTTCTTCTTGTACAAGGTGACGATGACTGTGTCACAAAGGTCTGAAGGTAGTTCGCCTCATTCCCAACAGTGCACCACAAAGTCATGAAACTTAGCATGGAGTGCTTGGCCACCATGCTTCCAGACTTCAGGTGGGATTCCGTCAACCCCAGCTGCCTTGCCAATTTTCACCTGCTGTATGGCTTTAAGAGTTTCTCCCATAGTGTGTTGGGGTAACTTGGCAATATATAAAAAGATATAGAAATTGTAATGTTGTTTAAAGTGAACATGCTTCCAAAATGGTGGTGTAACTCTTTGTGTAACTCTTCTTCTTCCCAAGATCCCTTACCTGTATCCTTGGAATGTCTAAGAGATAACTGGGAGCTCATCTATTGGTTGTTAACCCCTTATTGTCATTGATTGTTTGTGAGACCTCCTGGACTCTCAGTGGTCACCTTGTGATCTCCCCAAAAAGTATTTAAGCAGTTACCAGAACAATAAAACTCTCTCTGCCTGCTTCTCCCTGGTCTCTCCGTGGGGACCATGAGGTGCCGCAGGGTGGAGAGGGGAGGGGGAGAGCACGCTCCCCCCCAGACCCAGGGGTAAAGGAAAAGCCCTGTGCCTGGGGTTTCCCCTCCCTATCCACCTTCAACGTTCGTCAATAGTGGGGGCAATATCCAATTCAGTTTTCACTGATTGTTGTGAAATGTACTGCATTATTGAGTCTTGAACTACATGACTGGTACTGAAGAGAGACTGAAAGTGTTCAGATCATCCATTCAAAATGGAAACTTTATCTGTGAGAAGCATTTGACCGTCTGCACTGAGGACTGTAAGTTGTTTTCAGAGCCTCACAGAATCCCCTGTAGTCATTCATATCTGCGCATAATTGAATTTTTTCTGCTAGATTGGTCCACCACTTGTTCTGGATGTCACGAAGTTTCTGTTGGAACTTACTACATGCAAGACTGTTTTTCTTACATAGCAAGATGGTTGAGCAAGGTGTACTTGGTGAGCAGTTCTCTTCTTTCTCAACAATTACTGGATCTCTTGATTGTTTTCATCAAACCAGTCCTTGTTTTTCTTGAAGGAGAACCCTAAGGATTCTTCAGAGGACTGCAGAATGCTATTTTTAATCACTAGTTGCACCTAATACTGAACAAACAACAGGTTTTCCTTTACCTTCTTTGACTCTCGCCCCTGCCCGCAGGGTAGAGATGCGATCAACAATTGCTTGAATATTATACCAATGATCTTGGGCCCATTCCATTCCCAGAGGAGGTGACCTGGCACCAAAGTCATCTAATAGATTTTTAAACTCTTGTTCATTATGTTCCATGTTACCACAAAATTGGAGTGAATACGTCTCCAGGGGTTACCTCTTGAAAGTTACAGCAAATTTCCAAGGTCTTGTTCCTTCCTCTGGAGACGTACCTCTTAAAAGTTACAATGTGCACATTAACTTCAAAACCAATACAAAAACAAACAAACAAGAACTTGTAAAGTCATACATTATTGGAAGTAATCTGGAAGGTATATAATATTAGAGATGAATTGGAAAAGAGAAAAGAAAGAAGAGAGAAGGAACAAAGACAACCGTAAAGAGATGAAAGACAATTTCAGTTGATGACTATGGCAGTTGGAAGGGGAGGAGGTAATGAAAGGGGAAGAGGGAGACCAGACTTTGACTGGTAGCTTCCTGTCACTCAGAGAAGATCAATGTGCTTATTTTGAGCAGAAAGGGCACTGGAAATGAGAATGCCCACAGAATTCAGGACATATGCATAACCCCAGAAGGGGGGATGCTCCACAGGTAGAAATACTGCTTACACTTCATTGGGATTTAGATTGACAGGGACTAGCTCAAAAGAATTCCCAACAGAACCCCTGGTCGCAGTGAGGTTGGAGGATGCAAAGGTAGAATTTTTAATAGATACAGGAACAACTTACTTGGTATTGTAAGCAAAGCATGCCTGTAGTTGGAGCCACAGGGAAAAAGGAAGGAAGTAAGGCCATTCTTCAAGCCTCTAAAATTTGGAATTTGAAAGAGAATTTTAACTCATATGTAAGATAAAACATACACAGGTATTCTTCCTAAGAATACCAAGGCAGTGGAAGGATTTAAAAAAAGGTTTATTTCAGATGCAAGGAGCATTTCTTAATAATGCTGCGCCTGGGCCTCCAGGAGAAAAAGGCAATGCCCCGCCTTCTCTAAGGTTTTTTGTATCTTGTCTCTGTCCTCCCCCACCCTCTCTGGCCTGAGGAGGCCTTGTGCATGCCTGCAAACATGTTATCTCTGTGCATACCAGGGAGAGAGATAGCTTGCTCACAGCTTCTCCCTGCGACTTTCTCTGAAAAGCAGAAGGAAAGAAAAGAAACATCTAACCCATTTGAGAAGGCATTTTGCAGTCTTCCCAAGTGAGATGAGTCCTAGCTTTCCTTTACAAATTCTTCTGAAATTATACCTATCCCTACACATAAATTTCTGTACATACCCAAATACCCAATGCCATTATTAGGAAGAGACATATTAAGTAAATTAAATGCAAAAATAACCTTTGAAAAAGGACAGATCCCAGTACATATACTGGATGAAAAAGCCCTGGAGATGCAAGTGTTTATTGTTACAGGATCAAAAGGACTCTGAGGAAGAAATACCTGAAGAAGTGGAAAATACAGTGACTCCTTTGGTATGGGCTACTGGCACTCCTGGAAGGTCACAAGAAGTGGAACTGCTAACAATCCAGTTAAAACCAGGCACTAGACTGGTAAGATGAAAATAATACCCTATTATATTAGAAGCTAGAAAAGGACTACAGACAATCATTGGAAGACTTATTAGCTTTGGGTTACTTCAGGAATGCCAGTCCAAGTGTAATACTCCAATTTTGCCACTTAAGAAACCTCACTGGGATGAATCTTGTCTACTCCAAGACTTAAGGGCCATAAATTAAATAGTGCCAGATGTGCATCCAGTTGTAGCCAACCCGTATACCCTTCTGTCATGTGAAAGGGGGAAGTTTAGATTTTTGCCTGTCGGTGCCCGCAGGAAAGTTGAGACCCTTGTGTCTGACAATCTGTCAGTGTCTTGTAACGAGACCCTTCACCAACAGATTCCCAAGATCGGAGGGTGCTTCAACTGCCCTTGTCGGAGGGGCTCAACAGAGTGAAGACCCCTTCAGTGGTGTTACAATCTGCTTAAATATTGCAGAAAGAACTTCAGATTCGAATATTCCCTTGAGCAAAATTAAAACTCACACAAGTTATCTGTTGATACCAAAAACTGATTTTTATTAATTGCTAAGAGATGCAAAGAGAAAGAGGAAAAAATAAGAAAAGATTGGAAAACTACCTTTCTGCTGTGCTGGTGTGTGTGTGGGGGAGGGGAGAAGCAGTTTTCTGCCTTTTTTTTTTTTTCTTTCTCTGCCACTTTTTTCTGTGTTATCTCTTTAGCTGCAGGGGGTCTAACAGCTTTAGTTTTATGGAATGCAGGATGTGTGGTTTCCTTGCTCATGCTGAGCCCTGTCCCAGGCCGTGCAGGGTCTCAGTTCAGCCACAGCTCCCTGGCCCTCAGAAATATAATGAGGCTGGAAGGATAAGATATAACTCATCAGTGCAGCACGGTGGTCTCAGTTCTTTCCAGGCTGGCAGAGTCTCAGTCTCCCATGGCAGGTAGGCAGCATGCAGTGGAGGAGAAAAAGCGAGGGAAGGTGAGGAGAGACTCCTGAGGCAACCAGTTCTCTCTCCCTTTCTCCTTCCCTGATTTTCCAAAATTTGTCCTCGAGTTTTATTGTGTTCAAAGGAGGTTGTACGTGGTTTCTTGGCACGTAGTCAGTTCAGATGTCCGAGGAGATGTGATAACCTTAAACAATGGCAGGATCTTTTGGCAGGAAAATTCCCGTGGGAAGTCCTGGTGATAACTTCTGGCAGAGAGTTGACAGAGAATTTTTTGTAGGAAGTTTTTGACAGGCAGAACAATGGTGAAACATAATTTTTGGCATTTCTATATTATTTGTGTGTTACAAGCGGGCCTTGTCAAAGTGTTATCCACTGCCAGTAACTGAAAGGACTCACTTTAACAGTTCATGGAATAACGCTCTTTATTAATACTAATTGTGGCAGATTAATAAGGTTCAAAGGTTGTCAGTGATAGTGTCTAACTGCAAAAATATGTTTTAAAGCAATCTACTGATATATTAAGCAACCACAAGCTCTAATATGATTTAATCTTCTGATATATTAAAGGGCAAGCACAAACACCTTGCTCCAGTACGTAGACTATATTTTGTTGGCATCTGGGACCCAGGAGGAAGTGATTGCTCTGATCATCAGCTTTCTGAACTTACTGGGACAATCGGGGTACAAAGTATCTAGCAAGAAAGCTCAAATAGCCTTGCAGTAGGTAACATTTCTGGGATTCACCATCACACAAGGACAATGGAGCCTGGGGACAGAAAGAAAAGAAGCAATTTGCCACATACCAGAACCCCAGTCCAAACATGAATTCCCTGCATTTCTCGGAATGGCTGGATGGTGTTGCCTTTGGATTGTAAATTTTGGACTGCTAGCCAAACCACTGTATGAGGCTGTACAGGGGAGAGATTTTGATATGGACTCCAGAATGCCAAGAGGGTTTTGTTAAATTAAAGCAGGCACTAATGAGAGCTCCTGCATTGGGACTTCCAAATTTAGAGAAGCCCTTTCAGTTATTTGTTCATGAAAGAAAACACATTGCATTGTGAGTACTAGTACTATATCCTGGAAAAGATTGGTGGGGCATTTATCTAAGCAATCAGATCAAATTAGTAAGCAAGGGATGGCCCGCGTGCTTGAGGGCAGTAGTGGCCACAGAACTCCTTATACAAGAAGCCCAAAAGTTAACACTAGGGCAAAAGCTAACAGTCCAGGTGCCCCACATGGTAATGACTGTCCTGGAACAAAAGGGGGACCACTGGTTACCACCTAGCAGAATGATGAAATACCAGGAGTGCTACTGGAACAAGTTGACATTGAACTAAAAGTTACTACAACTTTAAACCCTGCAACTCTCCTAAGTAGCCCAGGGGAGACAGAATTGATGCATGACTGTCTGCAGATAATTGAACATGTATACTCTAGACAAATCAATCTAAAGGATGTGTCCTTTGATGATGCAGATTTAAGCATCTTCATTCACAGCAGCAGCTTCATAGTCAACAGTGAATGGAAAGTTGGGTATGCTGTAGTGACTCAAGAAGCTAAATTAGAAGCTGAAGAATTACCTTTCAACACCTCGGTCCAGAAGTCTGAGCTTGTAGCTTTAATTCTGGCCTTAGATGAAGGAAAAATTGTCAACTTATGAACAGATTCCAAATTCACCTTCACACTCATGGAGCTACCTGGAGGGAAAGAGGATTGTTAAGTTCACAGGGATCATCTGTGAAATACAGGGAACTAATACAGAAATTATTGCAAGTACTTAACTTACCAAAACAGGTGGCAGTGGTGTACTGTAAAGTGCACCAGTTTGGTAATAGCCCAGTAGCTGCCTGAAATTGATTAGCTGATCAAACTGCAAAAGAGGTAGCTGAAGGTCAAATCTTATTGTGTTGCCTTAAAGAATCCCTCAGGAGAAAAAATTACTTACCAGACAAATTTAGTAGAGATAAGAGAGCAGTTTTAATGGAAGGCCTTCAACCACGGGGGTACAGAGAAGCGCACCTGTGTCCAAGGGGTTCCACATTTTAAGGTGTTTGTCCATCCAATCCCAGATCTATCCGCCCCCCAGTTTCTCCCAGTTCTGCCCCCGGCATGCCCCTTTGGGAAATTTAGGCAGGGGCTCTGGGACCCCCTCTTCCTCATCTTCCTCTTCATCACAGCACACCCAGTCCTTGGAGCTCCTCCAAAGTTCTGGGTTTTGAAGGATGCTTTGTCTGTTGGTGTATCTTATTGTTCAAGCCAGGGTGCAAATGTTCTTAACAGAAAGAAGGCCTACCTTGAGGGAAGTCTAAACAAGGTAAGGAATTTAGAAACTTAGATATGAAATGGGGTAATAGGGTTGGGTAAATGTGTAAACTACTGTGCTAAAGGGTGAACTAACTACAGTTACTTCTAAAATCTGCAAAAAGTTAAAAATCAAAAAAATCCGTAGGCATCATTGTCAATCCCAGAGATACCAGGAATTGAAAGACGTTCTAGAATACAGTAAAGAAGATAATCATCTAGCAGAATTACCAGAAGCTCAGAAAAATGAGGAAGGATGGTGGGTCACAGAGGAAATAGAGTTGTGGTGCCCAATTTACTCCTAAGGGAAATAATGGAACAAGAACATAAGAGCACCCATTGGGGTGCTGAGGCACTAGTAGACAATGTAGAATTGCATATCCAGACAATGTAAAATTGCATATCCTTGGTGTTGGAATGGGGTGCACTGCAAAATGTATAGCCAAAAAATAGGAACTGTGCCAGAAAAATAAACCCCAAATTCAGCCTCGACCTCCTCTAGGACAAACTAAAAAGGGAAACACACCAGGAAATTATTGACAAATAGATTTCTCTGAATTACCATGGCAAAATGGGTATCGATACTTATTGCTACTAGTGGGTAAATTTTCTGAATGGCCAGAAGCTTTTCTCTGTCAAACCAATCAGACTAGAGAAATAGGCAAAATACTATTAAAAGAACTAATTCCTAGGTACAGGATACCTATAGGTGTGTCATCAGACAAGGGGTCTCACTTCGTGGCCAATATCATAAAAGAACTGTCAAGAACATTGTCAGTTAAGTGGGATTTGCACACACCATGGAGACTTCAGTCTAGTTGAAAGGTAGATCAAATGAATCAACCCATAAAGAGGCAAATAAGGAAAATTTTCCAGGACTCAGCTGAAGTGGTCTGAAGTGTTACCATTAGCATTACTGAGATTCAGAATAACACCAGGATCCAGGGACAAGCTTAGTCCTGAAATGAGAGCAAGGCCTAAAATAGTTAACTGAGATATCTTGCTCTGTTGAGAAAACCCCCCCGATACCTGCTCTGCCTGTACTGCTAAGAAAAACTTGTTCTGTTCTACTTACTGGACCTAAACCTAAGAAGAATACTAGAAACGCTATACAAGCAACCTAGAGGCCATAAATTAAAACAAGGAAGACATTTGAATAGGAGAAAAGGGCTTAGAGCCAAGAGTTTTTGCAAGTTTCAGTAACTGGGGCACCAACAATGGGGAGGTAGAAAGGTCAAAGCGAGGAAGAAGAGAAATAGACACCCAATTTGACGAGGAAGGCCGGAATGACCACTACCAAGAGAAGAATCTGGAAAGCACTGCCCTAAGCTCAGCCCAGACTCTGCCCAGACTCTGCCTATTATCAATATGCATGATTAGAAGTTGTAATCATATTAATATGTATGTTAAGATGTTGTAATCCTGGAGTTAGACTGTATAAATTATCCTGTTTTTCATTGATGCCTTCGAACAAGTTTGTCCAGCGTGAGCTGGCTTACTCCCAATGTTGAATAAATAAATACCTTTACTGTTAAAAGAAAAAAAACCTCTCGGAGCAGTTCACATTCTGAGGTTTTTCGACATCAATTTGGTGACTGCGGTAGGACCTTCTCTGCCTGGCTGCAGAACTCGTTGGAGCTTGGGAACCTCTGGGCATGTCCCGGGTAAGTTTTACTAGGAGGGGTTCCCTATTTTGGTTTTGGAGTTCCCATAAGACAAAGAAGGGATACTGTCTCACTGGGAGTATGGAAAAGGATACTTTTCCTGAGGGGAAATAACCCCTAGAGCTGGTATGTTCCAGTTTTGTTTGTATTTGGCCGAATATTGTTTATTTTGAGGGAAACGAAGTATCTAAGTTTCCTTTTCATTTGTTCTTTTTGTTATGAACTCTTGGAGTTTAGTAGCTCTAATAGTGTTCTGTGTTTTATATGTTACCCATGTTACTTTGTGTTGTTTTGTCTTGTGTTAGAAACAAAATTTGTTTGTTTCTAACCAGTTATAGAAATATCTTGTTTAGAGTCTTTTTATGTTTGAGTTATTATATGGAAGGCAGTTTTGAACAATTGACTGTGAATATATCACACCGCTTAAGACCTAGAATTAAGATTTGTACCTGATATACCTTGCTTACCTTGAAACATCTAGGAGCACATAGTTAAAGGTATCATGCTAAGAATTGCTATATGGGAGGTAGTGCTGAACAGTTAACTATAAGCACACCACATTGGATAAGACTTAGAAATAAGATTTGTCCATTTTGCAACTGCTGGTTATATGTATGAGCCTTGTGTAACAGATGTAAGGTTTGCCTCTCCAACAAACAAGGTTGGGTCAGAACCAGTGTGCATATTGTAGAAAAGAGGGACACAGGAAACAAGAATGACCTGAATTAACAGATGGAAATACAGATACAGGAGGGGCTGTTGTTGCTTACAGAGTACTGAGTGAGAGGGGTCAGTGGGTCTGCCCCGTGGGAACCCTTTGGTAAAAATTAAGCTAGGAGAAGAAAAAGAATTAGATATTTTTAATTGATACTTGGGCTACATTTTCTGTTTTGAATCAAGAATTAATACTTAAAAGGCATAAATCTGTTCAAGTCATGGATGCAACTGGTCAATCAGAAAAAGTTTTTGTTGTAGTATACGAGGACAACTATAAAAATAAAAACTGGGCACTTCATGATGATAACCTAAATTAAGCTTTTTATTGCTTCATCCAATATATTTCATCTTGTTCTCACACAGCTGCACTCACCCTCTCTGTAGAATCTTACATACCAACACTATTCTTATCTGTTATCTATATATTATTACCAGCCTTCACATATGATTGGATGTTCACTTCTTATTTACATTCTTTTCCTTGCTGCTAGGCTCCATGGCCTTGCTGCATACCTCCACAATTCCCCCTTTTTTGTATTTGTGTCACAAAAATTGCCTGGGCCGTCCTTTTCAGGGCCCTTTGCAAACACGACACCAAACATGGCAACATCAGTAGCACAACTACGATAATAAGCAACACAAACAACCTTGTTCTGACTATAGACAAAAGTCATCTTGATAGTTCCCATCTACTAACAGACTATTTAGCCAGTCCTGACCAGCATCAACTTGCAACTCTTTGATTCTTACTTCCAATCTTCAAAGGCTAGCATGCATCTACTTACCATAATCAAATTTATATCACACATCCTCTTAAATCTTGACACTCATAAAGTTTTTTAAGTTCATACACATAGATATCTACACAGTTTTTTTCACTCATACAGCTTTTTTCCCAGTCATTCAAAAGGTGACCACCTCAGTCATCCTTCATTCACACACAGTTAGGATTTTTATTACATTTTTGCATTTCAACCATACATCTCAGATCCCAAGTATTACTGGTTGTGTGCTTCTCAGTTTGCCGTCTCCTGTAGTCATGTTCAGCAATTCCACCTGTCCTGAAGAGGAATCAATACAAGGAATATAAAGCTTAACAAACCTAAATGAGATAAATTTTTGATCTAGTACCTGTTTATGTGCATGCATATTCTCCTCCCCCCTTTTTTTGTTTTGAAAATATGTTTAGTGTACAAAATGTTCTCTTTACAATAATTTGTTCTATGAGTGAGTTAACCCTGTTTTAGAATACCAAAAGCTAAGGAACTTAAGGTTATAATATTGGTGAATAACTTCTGCATTTTTGCATCTTGTAGTAATTTGAGTTTTCTACGCAGCATAGCAGAAATAATGTCAGGTGAACTGAAAGAAGACAAGAAAATCATGTCTGTACACTTTAAATTCTCAACTGAAATGTACCTTAACCTAATGCCAGGAGGGGAGAAAAGAAAAGAAGGAAGGTGTAATTTGCAATTACAAAATCACAGTAACCAAGTAACCAGGACCAATTACAGATCTCCTAAACTTTTATCTATTCCTCAGCAAGTTCCACTTCTCTGTCAGCTGTGACAAATTCAGTGAACCAGTCACGGGTTTTCTAGTTTAGCAACTGCAGATTCAGCAGTTTTGTCACATTGCCGAGAAAACTGTGCCGGCAACACACAACTGCCCCTGCTCTGCGATCGCCACGCGGTTGCATCAACAGCAGTTTCGCCTTCACTCTGCATGCCCTGCGCTGACCTCGCTCCACTCCCAGCACGGTTCTGCATAGCCGTCCAGCTCTGTGCTGGCATTCCACGGCGCCGTTGCTGTCTCCGTGTCCTGTGGATGTTGGTATCTCCTACGTCCGGATTGCAATTAACTCTCGGACCTGTCCATCTGCCTCTTCCAGTTGTTTCCACTGTTAACAAAAAGCTTACAAACCGTTCCCATTAATAGTTCAGTCAGTTTTGAGTAGTTATCGTGGCAGAAATGAGAGAGGCAATTCTGCAGAGGGACTGCGTGGGAAAAAAATGACAGGCACAGCCTTGGGACCGTAGCCAGTCTGTCCACCGTTCCAATGTGGGTCTCGAACCCACAACCCTGAGATAGAGAGTCCCATCCTCTACCAACTGAGGTAACTGGGCTCCTTCCCACTCTTACAGCAACAGTAAAAGTCCTAGGGAGCTCCTGCGTTTGAAAGGTTTCAGACACCACTCTCACACAAGCTTTTGTTTTTCAGTCTTAGAGTAGCAATACTTAACTCCATGTCTTCTATCTGTGACTGTTGTGATGAAACTATAACTTGCAAAGCAAACATATTTTTGCCTCTTGTTCAAGTTAAAAAATTTTTAAAAGTTCAAAGAATGTGGTGGACGGGCTTTACGGAATTCCAAAGGGATTGGTTGTCATAGCGACTGTGTTTACATAGGCATAGTGTTATTTAAATGCCTTCCTTTGGAGCACAGCGCGGGGGGGGCTCCGGGCTTCTGCCTTCCCGTGTTTTCTCAGTAGCCCTCCATCTTGCTCTCGGCTTGTCTTCAGCACACATTGCGGGGGGTGGGGGGGGGGGGGGGGGGGGGGGGGGGGGGGGGGGGGGGGGGGGGGGGGGGGGGAAGCAGTTTCGATTGCTGTCTGAGCTGGCCCCGACCCCGGCTCAGGTCCTCAGAGCTGAGCCACCCCGCCCCGTCAGTCCTTGTCGAGCAGCGCTGCTGCTTCGCTCTGCTGCTTAGCGCTGTCACTTTGCAGTGCCTCCCCCGCCCTGTGACGCTGCAAACCCTGCTCAGAACCACCATTTCTTTGAACTTCACGTCGTGAGCTGCTATCATCATCATCACGTTGTCAAAGCAGCTCATTTGAAGCGTCAACTATGCGCTCACATCCGAACTCTGGTGCCATTACGCCCCTAAAGTTCCCGGTGGCTCACTTGCCTCAGGTGTCAAGAAAACTTGGGTCCGGACCCTTTTTCGCAGAGCCCCGCTACTCTCTGCTTCACCGGGTTTCGTCCTCACCGCACCTCGACCTGCGATTCAATTCCTCTCAGGGAATTGTGGGGTGCTTGGCCAAGAACAGGCACTATGGACAAGCCATATTAATGGACCTTAAGCCTGAATTAGCAAAAGGCCTGCCTTTAGGTTAGAGGAAAAGTACTGGCTCTGATGTCAGCTTGGAGGAATGCTAACTGTGAGATATTTGCGAGGAGAAATGTGGACCAAAGGACCAATCGCATGGCAGCAGGTGCTGGGTACTGAGAAGTGTGTTTAACTATTTCAAGCCAATTGTGTAGCGACAGGTGCCTGTACTCGACCAATGGTGTAATGACATGTATGTGTAAGAAAGTATAAAATAACTCCTGTAACACATAATAAAGTGGATTCTGACTATCGATCATATTGATCTGCATGCAGTTTCTCCGTGTCCTCTCTGCCACAGGGAATTATCTCCAATCCCTCGATGGGGATCAAGTCCACTTTGACTCCAGATCAGGGTGGGAGTCTTGTAGGTATTAGTCGTGATCCCTCCTGGTTCGTAACACTCTGAGTCACCAGTTGTTGTAGTATATGAGGACGACCATAAAAATAAAAACTGGACACTTCATGATGATGGCTTAAATTCAGCTTTTTATCGTTTCATCCAATATATTACATCTTGTTCTCACACAACTGCACTCACCTTCTCTGTAGAATCTTACATACCAACACTATTCTTAGCTCTGTTATCTATATATTATTACCAGCCTTCACATATGATTGGATGTTCACTTCTTATTTACATTCTTTTCCTTGTTACTAGGCTCCACGGCCTTGCTGCATACCTCTACAAGTTTTTGTTTTTGAAACCCCTAAAGTTTAAAATTGGAAAACAAATGAGAGTGCATCAGTTCTTGTATTTACCAAATTCACCCAAACCCCTATTGGGCAGAGACCTACTAGAAAATCTGGGAACTGCAATAGAATTCAAACAAGGTAAAATCAAATTTAAGGTAAAGGAAGAACAATTAATAGGAACTCTGAGTTTAGCAATGAGCTATGTGGAGCCAAGCCAGGATAATTCAAATGTCAGTCAGATTTTAGATCAGGTATACCCAGGAGTTTGGGCTACTAAAACACCAGGAAAACCGAAATGGGCAACTCCCATTCAAATAGAATTACAACCACGAGTAAAACCAGTAATTAAGAAGCAATATCCACAGAGGTTAGAAGATAAAAAAAGGAATTGAACCAATAATAAATAACTTCTTGAAGTTAGGGGTTTTTTTAGAGTATGAATCAGATTTCAACACCCCAATTTTACCAGTCAAGAAACCAAATGGAACTTTTAGGTTGGTTCAAGATTTAAGAGCAGTAAATGAAACAGGTAAAAACATACATCCAGTTGTTGCAAATCCATATACCCTCTTAACAAAATTAAAAGAAAATTTGATTTAGTTTACAGTACTAGATGTAAAAGATGCCTTCTTCTGTCTCCCCTTAGCACAGGAAAGTCAAAAGATATTTGCTTTCGAGTGGGAAAGTCCCACCACTGGAAGGAAAACTTAACTCACTTAGTGTTACCTCAAGGGTTCAGAAATAGTCCCACAGTTCTTGGGAACCAATTAGCTAAAGAATTGGAACAATGGTAGTCACCACCGGGAGAGAGTGTACTTTTACAATATGCGGATGATCTATTGATTGCTACTGAAAAACAAGAAGAATGAATCCAGTGGACAGTCATTCTCTTGAACTTTATGGGTCTAAATGGGTATCGAGTCTCTCAACAGGAAACACAACTGGTGCAGAAACAAGTGGTGTACCTGGGATATGAAGTATCAGGGGGACAACACTCTGTGAACAGCAAGAAAGGAAGTCATCTGCCAGACTCCCAAACCACAGACAGTGAGAGACCTTTAAGAATGACAGGTTGGTGTTGTTTATGGATATATCAGTATGGACTAATTGCAAAGTCTTTGTATGACCTGCTGAAAATAACTAAGGGCAACCTAATCTGGAACCCCGAAACAAGTGGAGTCTTCAAACAACTGAAGAGAGAACTCATGAGGGCTCAGGTGTTGAGATTGCCTGACGTAACAAAGCCCTTTTGGTTGTTCTGGCACAAGTGACAAGGAATGGTTTTAGGGGTCCTGGCCCAACAATTAGGGCCATATAAAAAAGTAGCCTACTTCTCCAAACAATGGGACGAAGTAAGCAAAGGATGGCCCACCTGCCTAAGGGCAGTAGCAGCAGTGATCATACATATAGAAGAAGCCAGGAAATTTACAATGAGACAGAAAAGGACTGTATTAGTGTCCCACACAGCATCTACAGTGCTGGAACAGAAGGGGAACCACTGGTTGTCACTCTCTTGATTCTTGAAATATCAGGTTATCCTGGCTGAATCAGATGATATAAACATTCAAGTGACTAACGTTGTCAACCCAGCTTCATTCCTAGAAGGCAAAACCACAGTCGAATGCATTGTACACAACTGCCAGGAGACCAAGGATGCAGTGTATTCCAGTCTCCCGGACCTCAAGAAGAACCACTCCAGGACGCAGAAGATTAGTTTACCGATGGCAGCAGTTTCGTAAAACAAGGTGTGAGGATGACTGGGTATGCTGTAACCACCACTACTGAGGTAATCGAATCAAATCCTTTGCCCACAGGAACCTCAACCTGTAGGAGGTGGTATCAGAAGAAGCCTGCAGAGAATCGAGCTTCTGGCAACAACAGCTGCCCAGAACTGCCTGGGGGCCAGCTACAAGGGGTCAGGCCGGCCCCAACCTTACAGACCTCTGCAGGATTTCCCTCTCCTGGGCCCCCAAAGACCACACCTTCCCTTCTTTCCTGGCTATCCCTTCCCCCTGAATGAATAGACATGTCCTCCTAACCTAT